ACTAAATAATAATAATATAATAATAATAATAATAACTAATAATAAAATAATAATAAATCGTTCTATAACAATATATAGATTCTATACTGAATTGATACTACAGTTACAAATTCTTTTAAATTCTTTATTATTTGAAGAATCTTTATAATATTATAAATGTTCACACATAGGATCATTACAGAGAATATTTTATTTAATGGCATTTATTGCTAACTATATTGAACAATTGTTTTTTTTATTACTCAACTCTATATTATTAATATAAGTTAAGTAGTAGTTATTTAATTATACAATATATTTATCTAATAAACATACTAAATGTTAATAAAATTCTATGTTTTGTATTATTTTTAACTACTATAGTTAAAATTAGAGCATAGTTAATATTAAAATTATATTTTTTATCTATACCAAAACAGTATTGTCCAAAATCTTAACTATTGTGTAACCAAAACTTATCAGATACTATTAACTAATAGTAATGTTCTGCAGAACCTTCAAGTTTAGATAAATCTAGTTGTTAATAGTATAAGATATAGTCTTTAGGGTTTAAAATTTTTTTAATCAAATAATAAAGAATTGTTCATAGGTCTGCATTATCTTTTAGTCTTCTATCTTTATGAATGATAAATTTTTCTAATTTTTTACTATTACAAATTTTTTTACTATTTAATAGTGCTTTGCTTAATTCTTCTTTATTGGCACTATTTAATGAATATAATAATTTTTTTTAATAGTTTTTACTAATTAATGATTTGCATAATAACTAATAATAATTTGATCCTGAACTTGATGCATTAAATTAAGTCTTGTAACTTGTAATATTTTAGTAATTAATATATTAGAAGAGTAATATGTTCCTTCAATTTTAATTCAAAGCTGATAACTTGAATTAAGATATAATAATCATGAAAAAGAATGAACTTAAACTGAACAATAATGCATATTATTTCTATTTTTTAAGTTATTAAATAAATTGTAATTTGAACAATTTAATACACATTCTAATATCACTATATTGATGTTGACAAGTTTTTCTATCATTAGTACAATACAAAATCTATAATCAGCATAATTTATCTTTTTTAAGACCAATTCAAATTTGTTCAATATATTTTTGACCTTTAGCTATAAGATTTAGAATATTATTAATATGATTTATTAATTTTGTTTACTACAAGCTATCTATTTTGCAAAATCAACTGCATTATCTATATGATCAAGCTTAATTAATTTTTCATTAATTAATTATGTTGTTTTTAAATAGCTCTGTAATTTTAAACAAGTAATTTTTAAAAGTAAATATTGCAAAATATATTATTCAGCTATATATTTAAAAGAAACTAAAACCAAATTGTTATTATTATAAATAATCTGGTTTACAAGTATTTTAAAAAATTAAAGCATATAATTCAAAGATAAATTTTATTTTATTCACTTTTATTTTGTTTGTTTTTTACTTTAATCATTGTTAAATAAAAAAATAAGAACTTAATTTAATTATTTATTTGTTTGTATAAATATACATTATATATATTATATATTTTATATATTTTATATATAATTATTTTATTGCAAGATGAAATTTAAGCTGTAAGTAAAGAAATTTTTGATGCAAATTTGTATTTATTTAAAGTTAGATACTCTTACTTTTTAACTCAAATTTCACTTTATTTTTGATTTATATTCTGATATATATATATTGTAAAAGAGTAAAATATATTCTGATAGTTATTGCAGTCTTAAGGTAATATAATTTTAAAAATACTCAAAATTATAAAAATCATAAAAATCATAAAAAACCTAAAGATTTTCATAGTTGTAATAATAAAAATAATTTTCAACATTATCAAAATATATAGTATTTACTAGATAACAATAATAATAAGTAAAATAGAAATAAATAGTATAGTTAGTATTAGTAATATTTCTATTATCTTATATTATATAAAAATAAGTCTATAAGTAATAACAGTTTCTCTTAAAATAAAGCAAATGCACTTGGTATTACAACTTTGAAAGTAATCTAGTAGAAGTAATCTAGTAGAAATAACCAAGTAGTTTTTTATTCTTTAAATATAACCCAAAGTTCATATTTTGTTATTTATTTTTGTTCTTATAACTATTATAGACCCTATTTACTTTTGTTGAATAAAAAAAAAAAAGAGTATTCATTAATAATCAGGCTCTATATATATAAATATTTCTAATTTTGATTAAGTTTATAATTAGACTTATTGTTTTATAATACATATATAATTTGAATTCGATCATAATTACAAGATATATGATTTAAGATAAGCAGTAATAAAAAAAAATATATATATATATAAGGTATGGCAACTTAGTGAAGTAGATAATTTGTTAATCTTCTAAGTGATAGATAGTGAGTTCAAAACCTACTAACAATAAAAATTTGGATAATTATCTGTGTAATATATAGACAGTATTATGATGACAGCATTCAGTCAATTAGTTGAGATAAGATATCTGTAATATAGTCACACTAGCATGACTAACAGGTTATAGAGCATTTGCATAATATTGAAGTTATACAAAGAAATACAAACTGGCATCAGATAGTGCAAACCTAAAATAAGTCTTCATGGTTGTATAAATTTGTGAACTGGGAAGCTGAAGCCTACTTAGAAAGATCTAAGTAGAGAGGTAATATAGATTTTTAATAATATTACTATAAAGACTAGATCTAAAAAACAGATACTAATATAAAAGAAATAGGGTAAGCAAGAATCTCGAGTGAGAAATACCATTAATCAGATCACTAGAAGTCTCAAATCAGAGAAAAAAGATCTTGAGGAGCAGACCTTGAGGTACCAAAAACAGGTTATAGTTCTTTTGAACAATTTGAATTGGAAGTCTGAAGTCAGAAACAAAAATATACTATAAATATTAGAGATATACTATAAAGTTAATGCTAGGGTCTAAGTAAACTCTGCAAAAGTGAGCTCTGTTAACAAGAAACTAAATATAAGTAGTTAGTTAGCAAAAGGGCCTTCTGAAGCTTTACAGTCAGATAATATACTCTGAAATATATAACAGCTTAATAAATATATAGACAAAAAGATCAAAATAGGTTAAATAGCACTTTAATGTACAGAAACTATTTGTTATATAAGTATAAAAATTAGAGTATTTAAATAAATAATCTTTTAGTATATTGCAGATATAGCAGCTAGTATAAAACCTGCTATATGGGCAGACTACTTAAAATAAATAACCAAAAGTTGTACATATAGTTAGTTGTAAACTTACTTTATACAAGTTATATAATTATAATTAAAATACAATAAAGGCAATAGTTACTGATTAGCAAAAGCAAAAAAAAAAAAAAAAATATAGTAATAGTATTAGTATTTAACTAGTAAATTAAGTGTAAGCAATTTATATTGAGAGTAAAAGAGATACTTATCTAAGTTCTGATGATAACCTTACAAGACTCAAAGGCTTCAAAACTAAACCAAGTCTTTCTATGTCTTGATTGTAGTCTACCAATTTGGAGATTTCAGTCTTGTCTATTAGAAATTCACTAGTATATAGTATTAAATAGTGCAACTTAATTATATTATTATCTTACTGTTAGCACTCTTATAATGTATACTATAGGGTGTGGCGACCTAGTGAAGTGGTCAAGTTGTCAACCCTCCAAGTGGTAGGTTGGGTGTTCAGATCCCATCGATGATGAAAATTTGAATAATTACCTATATAATATTCGTATTATGGCAACTATTACTAACGATTGGGTTAGGATACCTGTAATGGCGGTCACACTAGCATGACTGGTAGGTCATGGGGCATTCATGTAAGTCACATGACATTGTTCTTTGGGACAAGGTTGTGATTACATGAAGGAATGCAAACTGACAATAGGCAGTGCAAACACTAGATAAGTTCTTGTGGTCGTGTAAATCTGTTAAAATTGGGTAACAAGAAGTTCATTTGGAAAGACTCGAGTAGAGAGATAGCCAGATCTTCGATGGCCCTACTGTAAAGGCTAGCCCTATAAAACAGATACCAAGATCAAAGTAGCTGGACAGGCAAAAACCTCTAAGTGGGAGGTACCACCAACTAGGCTGCCAGATCAAGCCAGAGGAAAAGAATATTGGGCCAACCTGATATACTAATGGCCCGGTTGTAAGTCCTATCGGGCTATCTGGATTGGGAGTTTGGTGAACTGGCAGGGGTATACTAAAATATTTTGGATATGCTGTGAAGTATATGCTAGGGTTTGTATGAACTCTACAAAGGCATAGCAGTTTAATGATCAGCCCTGATTGCAAATGTTGGTTCTGCCATAGCGATACCTAGGTCAGCTGTAAAAATGGGTACAGAAGGCTCTGGGGGGTTTACCTCGAGGA